TATCACAGCAATGTACACCTCTCAAAGATCAAATAGTATAGGTTTAACGCCCCTATCAACACTGTTAGGTTATTTAAGAGGCGGGACCTCCGCGTTTAACGTTCATCTCCGAAAGGACCGAATCAAGTATGAAATTCGTGTAAAGTGTCTTCCCAAGGACACAGCGTCTGACCGAGCTGAGGCTCGAACTCCCGAACCCACAACCTCACGATTACGAGTCCGGTAGCCTAACCACTAATTTACATCTCTGTCGAGTAATTGTAAGGCGCTTCCCCGTTGCATGCAGAAGACCCGAGTTCCATTCCCGAGTGGGGAAAATTATCTAATATATCGCTCTTTTTGCTGGGATGTTGTATCCATCGCAGCTCGGGTTGGACCAAACAAGCCTGCCTGCCTCCTAGGTAATCTATATTGTGTCTCGATTTTTTTTCTTTTCATTTTTCTTTCTTTATTTTTTTGCGAAAAAAACACGTACCTTAGAAATAAAAAAGAATAACATTTCAATAGCGTTACAGAGTAGACAACTGAAGAGCACATGGGAAATGCAACTGTAGTCACAAACTGGAAATTGTGAGGGTGCCAATTTTAAAAGCCTCTGGACTCATAACTTCATATTTGTTTGACTGGAAGTTTATTGTTATGTGCTGTTGAATGGGAAATCTAACAACAATAACCAACCAACAGTTGACCAGAAATACAGTTATGAGTCAACAAGTATTCAAAGTTGGTGCCCTCACGATTAATTTCAGTTTGTGACTACAGCCGTTTTTCCACTGTAGTCTTCAACTGTTGGGCACTCTTCGAGAGAAGTGGTCCTGGTCTAACTCCGTAGAAATGTATACACATTCCAAAACAAAAACGGATTCGAGTAAAAAAGCCAGCTGAGTACTTATTATTTTCAAGGCTTTTTGAAGTTCGACTTTTCGATATTTTCTACATTGTTTTTTTCCCCCTCATTGGGTGGCTTGGTGTTATTATTGAACAGGTCCATATCCCGCCACATGTCCCATTTCATGTCTATTTCGTGTATTTTTGCCTCCTGATTTAGGAAAGGTAACTTAAAACTTTCGAAAAATAATAATATCTCTAAAAATGGATTTGGATATTTTCTATAAATTTACCGGTGGCCTTTCCCCCCTGGCGACTCAGCCAGCTTTTTTTTTACTCGACTTCAGTTTTTGTTTCTGATAGTGTGTATAAATATAAAATTTCTATGGAGTTAGACCGGGACCACTTCTTTCCGAAGAGTGCCAACTACTGTTGTTTTGGGGTTTGCCTTACCTTGATGAAACAGTCGTTGAGGCTGAGGTTGTGACGTACGCTGTTCCTCCAGCCTTGACCTTTGTTCTTGTAGAACGGGTAATGTTTCTCTATCCAGTTGTAAATAGAGCCCAGGTTTAGCCTCCTCTGCTCAGACTCCAAGATAGCCTTTGCGATCAAAGCTATGTAGGACATGGTGGGTTTCGAATCACCCGTGGCTTCCGATTCGCCTTCCTTCTTTTCATCTTTTCCGTCTTTCCCCGAAGTACTGTCCGTCTCCGCCTCGTGATTTTGTTGTGAGTTGAGGTCTTTGCTTTCGGAAAACCCCGGTGACGAGTGTGTCGTATTGTGCTGCTCACAGTGAGAGAGAATCGTGTTGGGAGTGATGTCATCGTTCTGTGCGTACTGCCCAGAGTGGGATGATGAGGTAACTGTGGGATCTACGGATAATGACGACGATGAGGAAGGAGGAGGAGGAGGGGGAGGGTTGAGAGCTTTGTCGTATTCCGACTGAGACGGTTCTATTTTTGGAGATTCGAGTTTGATGGCCGGTTGGCCGAAAATGTTGTTTTCGTGAGACAGTTTGGGGACATCTTCTCCCTGGTGGTGATGGTCATAGGCTGAGGTCTGGTGCTGTTGTGAAAGGTGGAGATGGTGATTGTATTGCTGTTGCTGTTGATGATGATGTGAATGGTGAAGCGAGTCCTCGTGGTGGCCCCTAGCACTACCACCACCACCACCACCACCACCATCGCCGCTACTACTACTCCCGAAGAGATCCTGCGCACCTTGCATTGAGAGCGAGTCCAGCGGTTTCATCAGGAAATTGTCCTGACCTCTCGCCATCATGTTGGTAGATGAGGTATAGTCCATGAGCTCCATCTGTCTGTTAGACATCTTGTAGTAGTTGGCGTTCCCAAACCCAGGCACGATGCCGGAGTGTAAGAAGCCAGCCGTGTCTGTGTAGGCCGGGGGGTCTCGGCAGCCGCCATGATAGGTCTGTACGCCCTGTAGGCCGCTCGTCACGTAGTTGGGGTAGCAGCTCGGGTCAGCCTCTCCGGTATAGCTGGTGTGATGAAGTTTGATAGTCCCCGGTTCAAATCCCGTTGGAGTCGCAGTGCCGCTGTATATAGTACCTTGGTAGGCGGCCGGGTCGAAATGAGAGGACTGCATCAGTGCAGGGGGTGAGGGGGGGGGGGTGAGTGACTCTCGCTCCGTGTTAGGTTAGGAGAGAAAAAAACAACCCAACACACGCCACAGAAATCTCTACCAAACAATCCTGCTGTGCGCGCTGTTGTTTTGTCTTGGAGTAGACTACACGGATCAACGGTTTGGGAAAAACAGCCAGGCAAAGGTTGACACCAGAACGTGACAACAACAAAGACAGTGGCCTGGTGTCCTCGCTCCTCTCAGATCGGGGGGCTCGGAAAGTTTACCAAAACTGTTTTGGAGTCTCCAACATTCCCTAAGAAGAGGTAGTAAGCTTGGAATATCGTACGCTGGTGGGCTATTCAACAATTGGCACACTAATGAAGCTTTGTACTCCCTGTGTATTTCAAACCTGAGGGAAAACTGCATCAAACATAGGGCATCTCCTGCAGTAAATAACGACAACAAGTACAGGCCTTAATCCTCCTGCCTCTACCCTTTACCTCAACAGTTTGTCCAGCAAACTGATATCTTAAGGATTAACTAGCCGAGACAAGTTCCCCCCAATTGGTCGCCGGTTCTAGCATAATTCTGATTGGCTGAGGTGATAAAACTTATCAGGAAAAGGGGCGGGGTCTAGCCACGTCATCTGCTTGACGACATAGGCACTTGTTGGGACAGAGAGAGAAGGGAAGACAACTCTGATGTGACTAACACCAGTACCGGAAGACATCTAAACGGCAAATTAATTGAACGATTCAAAACTCGAACCCAAATAACGTAATCAAACTCGGTGCCGCTGAAGGGGCGTGTGTGGAATTGTTTCGAACGGAAAGCGGATTTACGAAAGACGCTCTCTTCTTTGAAGGGTAATTTATTTTTCCATTTCCAGTTTGACTTCACAAGAGCTGTTTTGTTGGGCAAACTCGGGAGTTTAGAGTAACTTTGTCATTACGCTACATTAGAGTTAGAGTCTCGACGGTTGCTTGCAGAACGCCCTACAGCAAGTGTGTGTGTGTGGGGGGGGGGGAGAGAGAGTGTGTGTGTGTGTGTGTGTGTGTGGGTGTGGGTGTGAGTCAGCGGGTGTGTGTGTTTGTGTTTGTGTGTGTGTGAGTGAGCGGGTGTGTGTGTTTGTGTTTGTGTTTGTGTGTGTGTGCACGCGAGTGTGTATTAACTGTTGTATACATCTATAATGTACCTACATTAATTCTACGTAGACGTATGTTACAGTTCCATGCAGCGGTTTGCACTGGTGCTCACAGGGACACGTAAGCATGATGTGTGTGTGTGTGTTTGTGTGTGTGTGTGTGTATCTGTGTGTGTGTGTGTGTGTGTGTGTGTGTGTTAGGGGGGGGATGTGCGGGCGTGCACATGTGCAGGTGTTCGTATGTGCGTGCGTGCGTGCGTGCGTGAGTGCTTGCGTGCGTACGTGCTTGCGTGCGTGCGTGCTTGAGCGTTTGTTCATAAATCGATTGATTTGTTTCAGAATATCAGAATTGATTAGTCGCTTTTAGGCACAATGTGGCTATTCCGAAAAATGCTGTTTTGAGATAAACAAAAGTAAAGTTTTTGCCCCTTGTTCAATTTCTATAAAACACAAGGAGAGTTTCTCAATAACAAAACAAATACCCACCAATAAAAACCAAACTTCTCCTATAGGTAGGGCAATACCAACTTTTGGTTTGGGTCAAGATTTCTGACAAACCCCAAAATCTGGGTTAGTCCGCTTGTCCTTTAAAGCGACCATTATTTTCGCTACAATCTACAGGCGAAGAGTCGGACTCTGTGTACCAAATCATGGCCAAACTGAACACCGGGGAGGCTTCCGGTCTGCATCTCATGCGTCGCAAGGTTGCCATAGAAACACATACAACAGATACAAAATACTTCGACCGGGCCATTGTGGTTATAACCAACCCGTATGCGGTAGAGCCGAAGCATCGGAGATTTCGACCACAAGAGATAGGTGAGTGGTTCTTTTTGCAGTCTTCTTGTTTCTTCTTTTTCATTATAGTAGAGGGTTTTACGGCGCTCACAACTGCATAAGGTTATATGACCTCGTGGGACATCATCATCATCATCATCATCATCATCATCATCATCATCATCATCATCATCA